CCTCGGGTTTAATATTTGGCAGCTGCCAGCAAAGATGATAGCTATAAAGGGAAGAGCCTCAGGAGGGTTGTGCATCTTGGTAAAAGCTGAATTAGGATGGAAGGGAAATGAGATATGCTCGGACCCCGGCCCTTTATTTTTTCAAGCAATCCATTTCGCATATGAAGGAAAGTCAATGGTATTTGTAAATGTGTATGTTAATCCAGCAATGGGCGATCTGTGGGAGGCACTAAAGGTAAAAATATTAGATATACGTAAAAAAATTATAAAAACACCTTTAATTTTGGCAGGGGATTTTAACGCTCATGTGGGTCCCTCGTTGGAGCCTTTTATTGAAAATGGTATAATTCCAGATGGATATTTACATAACCAGCAATCATGGGACTCCCAAGATAGGAAAAAGAATAAAGATGGGGGAAAATTTCTAACAATGGTATACAACTGTAACCTTCAAATTGTAGGTCACTACTTGGAAACTAAAAGGTACTCCATAACTTTTTTTGGCCCTAAGGCATGTAGCTCTATTGATTACTTTTGTGTTTCTCACAGCTTAGGGCAACTTCGGTCTTGACGTTACCAAGGCCAGAAAGTGATCATCTTCCGATTGAGATGTCCCTGGCAATCCCTTCCGATTTAAGGAAAAGGAATCAAACAATTCAACAAATAGGCTTCAATTTAGAAATAGCCCATGAGAGAAGAGTAACATGGAAGAGGGTTGATAGTAAAGCAGTGACAGAATTCATGAATTCACCATGTATGGAAGCTTTAGTGCATATATGCTCAAATAGTATGGGTGAACAAGAGCTTATAGTACATTTTGCGGAAATATGCCATAAATTGAAGCATTTTTTCATGATTACCAAGCCAATGGGCCAGTTTGATTCTAGCTACTCAACATGGTTTGATAATGACTGTAAGGAAAGGAAAAATCAGCTTAGAAAATCACTTAGGAGATACTTAATCAGCCCAAACATGGAACACCTTGTAGGTCCAGTAGCAGACCAAAATGGCGGCTCCGTATTGAACGCCGAGACATGGAGGGCGATGTCTGGCATTTCGAGGCCCCTAACCTGTGGGGTTCCTCAGGGGTCGGTTCTCTCCCCCCTACTCTTTAACATCTATATGAAACCGCTGGGTGAGATCATTCGTGCTTTCAGGGTGAGGTATCATCAATATGCTGATGATACTCAGTTATATATCTCCATCCCGGGCCACCCCGATGCCCTTTCCGTGATGTCCCACTGCCTGGAAGCAGTACGGGCCTGGATGGGTAGGAACAGGCTAAGACTCAACCCTTCCAAGACTGAGTGGCTATGGATGCCGGCGTCTCATGTTCTAGAAGTTCCATCACTTTTGATGGGGGGGGGAGTGCTTCCTCCCATCGAGAGGGCCCGCAACTTAGGTGTCATCCTGGATTCCTGGCTGTCTTTGGAAGACCATCTTACAGCCGTGACCCGGGGGGCTTTCACCCAGGTTCGCCAGGTGCGCCCTTTCCTAGACCGAAATGCCCTTCACACGGTCACTCATGCCCTGGTTACTTCTCGTTTGGATTACTGCAACTCCCTCTACATGGGGCTGCCCTTGGGGTGCACCCAGAAGCTCCAGCTGGTCCAGAATGCGGCCGCGCAGGTGGTTACAGGAGCTCCCCGTTACTCCCGGGTAACACCTCTCCTATGTGAGCTGCACTGGCTACCAGTGGTCCTCCGGATCCGCTTCAAGGTGCTGGTACTTAACTTTAAAGCCCTACATGGCTTAGGTCTGGGGTATTTGCAGTCTGATTCAATGTTTCTTTCAGAATGTGAGGAAGATGAACTGTTTGCCACATTTATAATGCCCACAGATTCTCAATGGCTCATATATAACGGGGGCAGCAGTGCAACCCAATTACAAGGGACACAAGAAAGTGAATTAAAAAGTGTGGTATTTAATTTGCAGACATCACTACTATATAAAAGGACTTATTTGTTAAGGGCTGTAATAAGGGCCTATCACCAAACAATAATGTGTAAGGAAGAACTCCACTTTCATGCTATAGGTTGTCAGTATTTTAAGGGTGGCTCTACATTTTCTGTAGCAAGAATAATATCTTATGGTTTGGTGTTTCTTTCAGAATGGGATGATGATGAAATGTTTCCAGTATTTACAATGCCCACAGATTCTCAATGGGCCATATATAACAGGGGTCACAGGGCAGCCCCATTATGAGGGACACAAGAGAGTAAATTAGAAGGTATAGTATTTAATTCACAGGCGTGCTGTTTGTATAAAAGACGTAATGTATTAGGGAATGCAAAGAAGGTCTGCCGCTATACAATATGTGTGGAAGGGGTTATGTTTCATGCTATAGTCAGCATTGTTTACTGTAATAAACCTGAGTACCCAGTCCTCATTGCTGTAGTTTCCTTCCATAATAGTGGAACGGTCAGATGCATGCCAAATTCCCAAGGAACAGTGCTTCACAATGTGCTCAACGGGGTGAGAACCCACAACCAAGTACATTGCATGGACCTGTGGAGGAACAGCTGCAGGAAACGGAGCAGCAGCTATCCACAACATATGGACTGGAAGAAATGGAAACGCAAGGTAGGAACTGTTATTACAAGTTTTTGCCTTTTTTTCACTCTGCATTCAATATATTATTTGTACTATAAGTAAGACTCCTAACCGTTATTTATTTGTATGCCTACAGAGATAGTGATCAGTTGTTTGCAGACATTCCAACACCTATTGTTTCACAACGAGTTCGACAGAGTATTGAACCCCAGCCGTTCACCTCCCATGACATACAAGGTTAATTAAAATGTTCAATAATTTCTAAATATGAATGTTTGTATTCATTAAACCAGGGTCATCTCCAGTTCTGCAATAGCAGGCACCTCAGCCTCCGTACTATGGTCTGTAGATTGCTTCCATTCTGCATGCCATTACATCCAGTGCTTGCCAGCTGGGTCCTGGAAGGCTACCAGTCAGCTGTGTGGGTGATAATGCTGCCATTGCCTCCTTTGCTGCCACTTCATGCTTCACCCAGAGCCAACGCTGTCCCAGCCAGACACCTTGTCGCTGCCTGGGCCGACACCTGGCATGCCATCATCCAGCTATTGCTCCCGCTGCACTCTCCAATTCTCCCCTTCCCCCCACCCAGGTACAGCAAACCAGTCGGGGTTTGACACCCCCAAAAAAAGCAAAGAAAGAGGGAGTCTGCTTATGCCATGAACATATTAAAGTCAATCTTGCTAAAAGACATATTACTAAACTCTTTTTAATCTCTTTGTGGGGTAAATTTGGATAGGGCACCAATCAGCTGATCACTGCTGTGGGGCTCTGCGTCAGTGGCAGAGATGGGGCCAGGGCCAACAGGGAGTGATGTGCAGACTTTGGAGCCTCCAGGGCTGACACTAGAGAGGCAGAGGAACAGGAGGAGTCTTTTCCTAGTGTACATATGAGAAGAGCTGCCAGAAGGCAGGAGCAGCTAAAGCAGAGAGAATGACTCGGGAGTAGGGCCAAGAGATTATTGGCCCCTCCCTTAAGGCTTAAAAAGACCAGCAATGGCTCTTGGCCTCTTTGCCGGAAAACAACTGTTGAGAGATTTGCTTTGTGTTTGGCTGTATTTCTTTCTTGACAGCATCCTCTGTTCCTGAACTGTTGCCAAGAAAAGCCTTTGGCAGTTTGCCTAATTATCCCAAGGTCAGAGATAAACTGAAGAATTGTGTTTTGAGGACTTTGTTTTCATTTAATTTGGAATACGCTGAGAATGAGTTAATTCTCAGCTGTTTTAATATCTGTTTGTTTTTTGGAACAGTTTTGCATTTAATATTAACTATGTGGGCCTGGGTCACAACAGAGGGAGACCACAGTTGCCATATAAGGATAAATACAAGAGGGATCTAAAGGCCTTGGGAATGGACATTAATGACTGGGAAACCTTGACCTCTGATTGCTCAACTTGAAAGCTAAAGACGCAGCATGGCCTTCTCCAATTCAAAGAGACACTTGTTTGGCAGGCTGAGGCAAAGAGGCAGTCCTGAAACCAGCGAAACCTGGGGGCTGGGCAGGGGACAGAATATATTTGCCCTCAATGTGGAAGGGGTTGCCACTCTTGAATTGGCCTATTTAGTCACACCAGATGCTGTTTTAGGACCTCTTTCCAGAGCATGATACCATAGTCTTTTTAGACTGAAGGTTGCCATGGCCAATGAATAGGTGCCGCTATACCATTGCTGACTTATCTATTAGTCCAGTAAACATGGAGCACACCAAGAAAATGCATTTGGTGTCATGTCATCAGATGGAACCGATACAAGGACGGAACTCTACGATACTACAGCTGTTAGCCACTTGGACGATGACATGCAAACCATTCTTCAGAGAACGGATCTAAATTGAGGATGACAAGATAAAACTGTACAACACAGCGCTGCAGAGGTTTCTAAGGTTGACCAGGCAAAATGACTCTGAGAAGGACATTCTGAATCTTATCCAACTTCCAGAGGATTTTAAACAACCCCCTGCTGTTCCAGAGCTGACACCCCCGCACCCACAGAAAGATCTAACAACACAGAAGATATTAGATGGGGTGAGCCCTTGATACAAGAAAAATGCTGAACTTTTGTTGAACAAAATGAAACAGCATCAAGACATTTTGGGGTAGGATGACTATGGTATGGTTTTATACAAGGTACCCTGGTTCCTGGAACTAACATTGTAGACCTGATCAAAGGGGTTTCTCAACACCAATTGTGTACTGCGAAATATTATCCTAAGGGGTGGACTGAGTTTATATCTGCCATGGCTGAGATGAACATTCCAACAGCATTGCTAGTGTCTACCCCTGTTAAAGAGCAATTAGAAAAGCTAAAAGAGTCCAGTAGTTTTAAGGTTGTAAGTTCTACTAAATCACCTTCTGCTATATCTGCACCTGTTGAGATGCCTATGCCAAATCCTAAAAGGTGACTGGCTCCAATTGTGAATAAATAAAACACTGGAAAACATGCAATGCTTTTAACGTTTTGTGGTTATTTTATAATGACCATACATGTAACTGTTACATGTTCCGGGCCCTCTTTCCAGCTTCATATTTACTATAAACTGTTTCACCATTCGATCATTTTTGACATCTTTTTCAGAGAACAGCTTTAAAACATCTTTGTAAGATATCCCTTTAAAATGTTTTAAGTAGATAAAACAGGCAGTGCTGCCCACAGGTTATTGCCAGGGGATGCTGCAGTTGAAGAGGTTGATATGTGTACTTCACAATGCCAGTGGGAAAGTCAGAGTTGTCTGGAGCTCTTCCATAAAAACTCTTCCAGTAAAAAAAATCACTATTGCTTTAAATTGGAAAGTAGAATATTGGTATACCCTATGCAATTGGACATGTGATGCGACACCCAGAAAAATACAGCATCCTTCACTTAATCCTCCGGGGAAAAATTGAAGGCAAACGAGGCCCAGGCAGAAGAAGAACTTGGTTTCAAAAACTAAGGGACTGGTTTGGACAAAACTCAGCAGAATTTTTTCATATCGCTGTTGAGAAAAATAGGATTGCCAACATGATCGCCAATGTCCGATGACGGACATGGCACAAGAAGAAGAAGAATGCAATTGGCTAAGCTGAAAAGAATCTGCAGCATTTCAAAGCACCAGAAATATAAAAAAAAATCTTGCCTAGTTCATGCTAATATCCTTAACCAATGAATTATGCAACAGACTCCTTTGTTTAGTTCAAAATGCCACGGGAACATCATTAACACGCATACTTTCAAAGTGTACCTCAACATATCTTTTCTCTCCCAATCTTATCATCGTAAGAGATATAGGTTATATGCTGCAACATTTTTAGTAGCACAGATTATTAAGTGCACATGTGAAAAGTTATAGACTTCCAAAAGAACTCATAAAGGAAGAGTTATGAATATTAATTCAAAACAATATGATGGATGTTCCCTTGATGTTTCTTTTAGGAGCTACAATCTTGCTACTAAGATTTTTGTGGAGTAGAAAAGATAAAACAAAACAGAAGAACTCTGTTAAGAAGTTGCACTTGTTACTTTATAGTATTATATAGTTTATTCCCTAAGGCTCGATGAAAAATGAATTTGCTTCCCTTATTATGAAACTACTTTGTTTAAAATCAAATTTCTATATGCGGATTTCTTTTTTCCATGCATGCCATTAAAAGCTTAGCATTTCTTCTCTCAAATGAAGATTTTTTATTTTTTTTTGTTACATCTGATAGAAATCTGGGGATACACTGCAATATTTTACTTGAAATAAGACAACCAAAAATATGAAGGGTGTCAAGTATTACACTGGCTGCTTTGGGGAATACTGGTTTCTTTTATATAAAAAAGTTATTTTTAGGAGAAAAAGGGAAGAGGGTGAATTTGGGGTTGGTGTTATTATTTGACAGGTTTTCATAATGTTTGAAGTTGTTTGATATATTTGTAAAAGTCCAGGTACTCCTTGATTTGGTCACATAGCGACCATTCAAAGTTATGATGGACCTCCCCAGGGATACTTATGGGGAGGTCTATGTTTCATTGGCCATCCATGTGATCAGATTTTGGGCACTTGGTCACTATCCCACATTTATAGCCATTTTCTGCATCCCATAGTCAAGTGGCTACAATTTACTACTTTTTTTTTGCCAGAAACCAGCATTGACTTCTAGTTTCTTGCAAAAAAAAAACCCCACCCATTGCAGGCAATGGGTTTACTTAATGACCACTGTGTCTGTTTAACAACCGCCCCCCAGTGGAGAGAGAGAAGAATATCGGATGATGACTGGAGCTATTCTACAGCTGTTGGCAGTCAGACAATATAAGTTTTGAAAGAAATGTTTGGGGCTGTTGAGTTCAGAGGCCCAGGCCAGAGTAGGAGTTGGCAGGACCCCAAGGTAGTGGCCCATTCTCCGCATGAGCCCCACCATTTTGTGTGTAAAGTGTGATAGTTGTTTTTTTGAGTTCTCTGTGACTCTGTGAGGTTCCTGCTTGTTGGACCCCAGTCACATCCTGAAAAGATTGTACATTGTTGGGTGAAAACAGAGATCCCTTCCATTAGCATTAGTTCTCAGCTACAAATCACCTTTTTTTGCAGTAGTAGCCTTTAATAGGAAGGATGAAAAGGAAAAAGACTGCCCAGTTTCTTCGCCAAGAAACCAAAACTGGCACAGCCCACCATCAGAATTGGCCTTGAACGATCCAAAACTGTCCCAAGCACCCCTACTTCCACCACTTGAATTTGGAGAAAGCAGCAAGTCAAGTATTGAGTCACCCAAGACAGAAATTGAAATTAATCTTTCTCACTGCTGGACATTGCAACAGCTGAGAACCTTTCAAGAAAAGTATGAGGGACTGGAAGTTTCAAACAAGAAATTAGGTTGCAAGTACTGTGCGAAATATGAGTTCGTAATAGAGAGCTGTGTTGATGTGTCCAAAGAATAGAATAGAAACATTTCAAGATTGAGGCATTTGGGAAAAATAAAGAACTGCAACAGGCGTCTCTAAGGAAGAAAATGAGAGAACATTTCATATCAAAAGCTTACACCATTTGTAGAGACAACGTAAAACAAGGGGAGCAGCATGCCATAACGAAAGCAATGGACAAGTTGCCTGAAAAAACATTTAGGCACCACTTGTAAAATGTTCAAAACTGTTTACAGCCTGGCAAAAGCATGTAGACCAATTTCAAGCATAGAAGAATTAATAGAATTACAAACTGAAAATGGAGTATATCTGGGAATAGAATTGCATTCAAGGCCAACAGTTGTGAAAATAGTTGAGTGCATTGCGAATGAAATTAAAACCAAAATGTTTACCAGCATTATTGCACAGAATCTGAAAATGTTTGATCATTGACGAAGCCTCAATGGTATCCTGCAAACCAGTTGTGATAGTTTTCGTAAAAGTTGAGGACTCAGAGAAACCACCAACATTTTCCCTCAAGCTTGTTGAATTGAAGAAACAAGATGCAGAGACAATATGTTCTTCAGTTCTGGAAAGTTTACGTAAGGTTGGGTTTACCCAGAACTACCTACAAAAAAAAATTAATAGCGTTTTGCTCTAATGGTGCCAGCGTTATGCTTGGGAGAAAATCTGGAGTGAGCACTAGAATGGCAAGAGTTTCCAAACATCATCATATGGCTTGAACCATCGCCTCCAACTTCTTTTAGATGACTCTATAAAGGAAATAAAGCAAGTAAATCATTTTAAAATATTTATTGATAAGATATGCTCTATTTTTCACCAATCAAATAAGAACCTAATTGAACTTGACAAAATATCCAAAGAACATGAAACTGACCTCATAAAGATTGGTAGAGTTTTGGGACCAAGATGGGCTGCATGTAGTTTAAGGGCAACCATAGCTGTGTGGCGTGCTTATCCAGCACTACATCAGCATTTTCATGTGAATGCAAAATACTCAGGTATGACTGTCCATCTGGAAAATATATATTTTTTAAATGATTTGGCGTTGATGATTGATATTCTGGAAGAAATCTCACTTCTTTCAACTGCACTGCAAAGCAAGTAATACAGACATCATAAGGGCTGAAAAACTGGTGAGAAGATCAATGAAAGCATTTGAATTGCTTACAAAGAGAAAGGGTCCATACAAAAGAAAAGTTGACGGACTTCAGAAACCTTCAAAAATATAAAATTTGTACAAAATCATCGATTTGTTGGACTTCATCAAGAAAGACTTTTAGAAAGCATCATAACAAATTTGCAGAAAGGACTATGAATATTTAAAAACAGGTAGCCAATTGCAAGACACCACGAATACATTACAATTTCTAAATTTTTTGGTGCCAGAGTACTGGAATATTGCAGAAGTAGTAGTTCCATGGACAGAAGCTGAGGAACAACTGCGCACATTTGGTGACATTTTCAATTACAACATTAACATCAATGACTATAGAGATTTTGTGTAGACTGTATTAAAAGATTTGAAGAACTATGCAATTTCTGACAGTATTAAAAAAGCTAAAGTTATTGTCAGAACAATTGTTGTAAGTTCTACAGAAGTGAAAAGGGGTTTTTCGAAAATGTTCAGGGAGCAAAAGTTGCCTAACCATTTCTAATTTAACCAACCTAACTATCAGTGTTATTTTGGCCTACATCTTCCAAAATGGGACCCTATTCCTGCAGTGAAAAAGTGGTTAAGAGAGCTTTTTATCATCACACAGCCGATGATCCGAGAATAAAGATCAAGAAAAGTGGAAGTGAGGAGAGTACCAATGAAAAAACGATGTTGAAACATCTTAAAGACTACTAACACTTTTATATAAGTATTTGTGTACCTCTTTTATTGTTTTGTGTACTTCTTTTATTCTTTTTTTTTTATGTATTAAATGCTTAAATATGTATATCATGATATATCTCCTTTTTGTAGGTCATTATTATCATTGGTGCAAAGAAGTGATGTTGAAGACAACACTTTTATTACTCTTATGTAAGTATTTGTGTACCTCTTATTGTTTTGTATCCTTCGTTTATTCTTATTTAAGTATAAAATGCATGAAATAATTGGTATATCTTCTTTTTCTAGGTCATAAAAGCAAAGAAGTGATGTCGACTTGGCCACGGCCACCCAGTCACATGACCAAGCCATGACCACCCGGTCACATGACCACCAAGCCACAAACCTACCTGTTCACATGACCGCCAAGCCAAGCCCACAGAACTGGTAGAGAAAATTGTTGAATTTCACCATTGTATTGCATCATTGCCTAAAGGGTTGATTACAAAATGAAGACCAAATGGATGGAACCAATGAAACAGACTGTCAGCCCTAGTGCCTGGCAACCCTAGTGTGCCTGGCAACCCACAAGGCTGCCATTCCGATGGGGGAAGGAAAGCCATGTGGCTGCGCACACCCACCAAGTGCCATACCTACCGGACCAACGAAACAATGCAAGGACACCAGCCGGATGGGCGAGGACAGGCCAGACCCAGTTGCCGCTGCTGAATCCACAGCTGAACAGCTGTGAAGCAGCTAAACAGCTGAGAAGTGGGGTGGGCACCTGCGCACCAGGTATGCCTAGCCATTTGAGGCTTGATATTTCCACGTGAGGGATGGGATACACACATGGATGGTTGGGTGGGGCTGGGGAGAGGCTTAAATGGTGGAGGTGGCACTGGGCAGTTAGCCCAAACTTTATTTTCACATGGTGATCGTCAGTTCATACCGGAACTATTTGTGACGAAGATAGAACAATTGCAAACCAAGACTGTATTCTTTGCTTTCTTTCTGCAAATTACAGAACCTGACAAGTCAGGGCTCTCCTTCTGTTGTGTTTAGCAGCATGGCAGGCACTGAGGCTGGCCTGGAGGCTGCTGAACTGATGAAGCCTGGAGCTATCCTGGAGGTCCTGCTTGTACCATCAGAGGCCCCTTCACAGGACGTGCATCCCAAGGAATGACCAGTCTCCAAACACCCCATAGTCAGTCAGGGAAGATGATCCAATGGTGAGCATGGCCATTAAACCTTTTTGGATTTCAGTGGTGTTGATGGCTAGTAGGCGCCAACAGTTCAAAGCTCTGATTGATAGGGTGTATCCGTTGCCTCATGAGTACCGCCACAGCAACCAGCTTAGGGATGAGGGCACAGACACTGTCATGCCCCATGCGATTTGAGCAAATGGATCAGTGGTGGGTTGCTCCCGGTTTGTACTGGTTCGCAAGAACTGGTAGTACAAGTCTTCATAGTTCGGAGAACCGGTAGTAACATCTGACTGACCATGCCCCCAAACCGGTCCCTGGCCCAGTCGCCGCTCGCTTGCCCAGCCCACCCACCTGCCTGATGGTAGCATGCTCGCTGCTCACTCACCCATTCGAACCTTGCCCCGCCCATCCAAACACTATAGAAATACCTCTTCACCACGTGGCCCACTACTCGCCTCGTGATCTCCTTGGCAGTGTTGCAGAAAAATACAGGAGTTAGATTTCGAAATTAAGAGAAACTTTTATTTTGGCCAAAAGGTTCAGACAGATAAAATAATAATCTAACATCTGAACAGGTTCTGTCTTTAAAACATGCACTCTTATACTCTTCAGTAGTAGCAAAACAGGAAATATGTGAAATCTGCCTCTTTAGCTAGCCGGCCCCCCCTCTCCCGTTGCTTAGGCAGGAAACCTGATTCATGCTGATCCATGTGGTTTAGTTCTGCATTTTGACATGGCAAGAGAAATTAGCTAACTCTGTGGTTTGACTGTTTGAACTCAGCAACTGTCTCTTACAATAACAAGTCAAGGGACCTTTAGAGATCATCCAAGCCAACCCCATATCAATTCACTCTTATATCTAAATTTCACTTTACGTCCTACTTTACTAGGGCTCGCTTGCACCTGTGAATTCTGCTCCTGCTTGCTGAAGTGGCTTGCTGAATTCATCTGCGCAGAGCTGCTTCATCCTGCCTATAGGTAAGCTACCTTCTTGGCCACCCAACCCAAATCCCCAGCCTGCCATAGCCTCTGAGGCTCAGCTGGGACCTTCTCAGCTGCCTGCGCGCTTTTGTAGGCGGCTGGAGCTTCCCTGGGGCCTCTGGAGCTGCCCGCTCAAATCCCCAGCCTGCCGTAGCCTCTGAGAGTCAGCTGTGGCCTTCCCAGCCACCCACGCGCTTTTACAGGTGGCCAGAGATTCCCTGGGGCCTCTGGAGCCACCCGCCCTATCCACATGTTCCGCAACCGCCTCAGATTCCCCCCAGGTGGTTTAACATTTCCACCATCCCTCCAGCCCACCTTACCTGCCTGCCTTGTACAGCTTCCATCCATTCCCCAGCCAGTCATCAGTAGCTGAAGCTCGAGTGGCTTGCAGCAGACCTGCCTGGCTGGAAGTGGAAAGCATCCACCGCTGCATCCATCTCATCGGTGAGCAACTGAGCCTGCCTGCCTTGTAACATCAATTGTGTAAGTGGCTGTTGTTGTTTTTTTCTTTATCCTTTAAAAAAAATGATTGTAATAATGTTATTTTTTTCAAAATGTTATTCTTTTTAGGAATTGTTTTTTTGGGGGAAAGTTTTTCTTTTTAGGAAATGTTGTTTCATGGGAATGTTATTCTTTTTAGGAAAAATTTTTTTGGGAAAAGTCACATCAAATTTAGTAAATTTTAGCCCCTTTCATATGTTCAGATTTGTGCAAGCTTTGTGAGATTTTGTGCGTAAGTGTGATAACTGGTTTTTGAGATTGTATAATTTTTGGGGGAGAGTTATTTTTGGCCTGATTCCCCTTATCTTAATGACTGTACTTAAGGTGGCACTTTTGCCTGGGTTTTTTTTTCAAGGGGGAAGGGCTGGGTTGAATTTCTTGGCACTGTTTTCTGAGGTTTCTGGTGCAGTGAGGTTTCTGGCACTGTTCTTTTGGGGTGTACTATACTTCCCACAATGTCTTGATGACAGTTTTTAATTCCAGTGGCTTTCTTTCTTGTCCTAAGGGTTAGGGAAAAAACTGGTTTTATCTGCAGTCTTTTGGGGGACAACTGTTGTTAGTCTTTTGGTGTTTTCCTAGCACTGTCCCAGTTTTGGGGAGGGAGGGGTTATCTACACTTTAATCATAATCAAATACTAATACTATGTGCTTATCCATTTTAGTGAGCTTTCCTTATATAATTGGTGTTTTATACTTTTATATTTCTAACTTCTGTTTCCGTTAGTGAGCCATTGAAAAAACAAACCCCACATAAAAAAGTATTCAAAGCCTTCTACTTGATTTAAATTTTTACTTTATTCATCTCTGCACATTCTAATATTGTTTTTATTCATTTTGATCTCTTTGTTTTTCCACTGTTGTGCACACAGTTCTAGCAGCTGTTAACATGTGTAAAATTAAATATGTATTGTATTCCCTTTAAAATATCCAACAAAATATTTCTGGTTTTAAATCCATATCTTGCTTTACCATTGCTTCTAACCATGGTGGGATTCAATTTTTTAAACAACCGGTTCTGTGGGCGTGGCTAGTTGGTCATAGGGACTACCCAGAGGGCTGAAAAAAGTCATTTCTGACTGGTTCTCGCACTTTTGACCGGTCCTCCCACTTATGACCGGTCATCATTTATGCCCGTTGCAGCATTCTTAACAACCATGTCACTCAGTTCACAACTGCTTCTCTACAAAATAGGGTGCAAAATGTAAAATGTGAGGACAGTCATGTGAGGACATGTCAGAAGTGCGAGGACCGGTCAAAAATAATGTTTTCAGCCCTCTGAGTAGTCCCTATGCACATAGCGACTACCCAGAAGGCTGAAAAAAGTCATTTCTGACCGGTCCTCGCACTTTTGACCGGTCTTTGGGGTGGAATCTGGGGGAGGAGTAGCAAAGTGAGGCGTGCTAGGTTTAAAACGAGAAGGGAAAGCACGATAAGGTAAGACAATATTTCACTGTAATTGCACTGGGTGATTGTTGGAGCGTGCCGAATTTAGGAAGATAAAACCTTAGAACAACATCCACCCTGTTGTCTGTGATTTATTTTCTTATCCTGATTTGGAACCTGACAGGAGTCTCTAAAAGGGGGCGTGGTTATGGCCGTGGTGGTGTGAGGACGTTTTCTCCACTTTGCAGGGCATTTTACGGAAGATAAATGTGGATTAAAGTGTTTGAAATGCACCGATAAGGACCAAAATTTTCTAAATTATATTGGAAGAGCTACTGGCCCAGCAGACTGACTTTGGAATTGGTAGATTACCCTGAACCACTCAAATTTTGAAGCTTTTCATAGCGTGGGAAAGTGGAAGGAGTGAGGGGTGACCAGATAGGCAGTTGCGATTGTGTATTTGGAGCAAATAGCTGCCTTTCGTTCTCATTATTATCGCGATCTGTGTTTGTTTTTGCTGCAGGGTAAAGGCACGGAACATCAAAAGACCAGTGGAAACGGGTTTTAATTATTGGCACAGACTTGATGTCAAATCTGTTACCACTTATTTGGGCTCAGACGAAGCCAGACACCTAGCAAGGGAAATCTCCCAATCTAAGCCCGGAGACAACACCCCAATGCCAGCTTATACAGAGCTAACTTCTACTCTTAGGAACTTAATGATCCAGAATGATAGAAAAGTAGATGGGATCTCTAGAAAGTGGTTTGATGATGATTGTCATAACTTGAGGTCAAATCTAAGAGCCGCAGTTAAGAAAGTTAACCGATCCAGACAGGATGGTGATTATTCAAATATGGTTCAACTCAGGAGAGCATACAAATCCCTCCTGAAAAACAAGAAAAGTAGCTATAACACCAGATGTGGAAAGAGGTAGAAATGGCAGCGAAATCCCAATTCCCTACGATCTTTTGGCATAAGATAGCCGGTATATTAAAACAACGTTCCCCATTTATGGACACTGATATATCAGCAGTAAAATGGGAGAAGCACTATCTTGCTTTATTTGATGGTAACAATACAACAAATGTCTTGCAATTGGATATCCTCCAGCAAGAATTAAGGAAATGTCTGGAATGGACACCAGTTACCCCTACCGAAGTTAAGCATATAATTCAATCCTTAAAGGCCGGGAAGGCCCCTGGAGAGGACTTGTTGCCTCCTGAACTCTTTAGGTCCAACATTGACTTTTGGGTACCGGTGCTGGTAGCACTGTTTACTTATATCGATAAAGTAGGGATAATCCCTGAAGGGTGAAGGTTAGCTATAGTTTTTCCAATTTTTAAGAAAGGTGAGAGAGCCGCCCCATCCAACTACTGACCCATCAGTCTTCTTAATATAATTTCAAAAATGTATACGAAACATCTCCTAAATAAAATAGAGGACTGGTGCTTGGATAAGGAAATTCTGGCAAATGAGCAGGCAGGTTTTAGATCAGGTAGGTCTACCATAGACAATTGTTTTGTCCTTTCCCACTTAATTAATAAATACAAGACCCAGGGGAAAAAGCTGTATACCATCTTTATTGATCTTACTGCTGCTTTTGATTCTATAGATAGGAACCATTTGTGGAGGAAACTACAAGTTATGGGGATGGACCCCAGACTTATTTTGTTGATCAGGATTCTCTATACTAATACAGCAATTAGAGTCAGATATGCAGCAAATGGGGCCTCAACAAACAGCATACCGACAACTAGAGGAGTGAGGCAGGGCTGCCTGCTGGGCCCTACTCTTTTTAACCTTTATATAAATGATATCCCAGCGCAGCTGGATGATCTTATGATGCACAGCCCCCAAATAGGCTCTAGATTTATTAACGTATTAATGTATGCCGATGACTTAGTGTTGTTTTCTAGAACCCAAATAGGAATGAGGAGACTTCTTGACAAGCTCACACGTTACTGTGCTGCAAACCACTTGACTATAAATGTAGCTAAATCAAAAATTTTAGTCTTTGGCAACAAGAATAAAAAGCACAATTGGCAGATTAACGACACAAAAATTGAACAAGTTACCCAATATATTTATCTTGGAATTGTTTTTTCCAGTGCAGGAGGTTGGACTCCGCACCATCAATACCTTTCTCAAAAGGTTAGAGCAGGATTTGTATCTAAATTAAGTAAACGAATCCAACCAACCTCCATTTTACCTCTTCGTAAAGTCTTTCAGGCTAAACTTGTTCCGATCATGCTCTATGGTGCTGAAATTTGGGGTCTTACAGAGGCCCCCATATTAGAGAGAACTCAAAATAATCTGTTAAGGAGGATGCTTGGGGTAAACAATTCCACTTCAGCTGCAGCCGTCAGAGCTGAATTGGGACATTTCTCACTGTACACCTATACAATCACTAGGGCCGTAGCCTACTGGCTAAAAATGACCCAGATGGATGCCAGCAGACTCCCTAAAATGTGTCTAGAGGAACAGCAGATTTCAAATCCTCAAAGGTATTCCTGGCTAACCCGGCTGTCAGAAATATTGAACCGATATGGCGTAGGGTTCCGGTTGTGTGACACACTGAACCAAGTTAAACAATGGATTAAAGATATACATGGGCAAATGGATATGGCAACCTTTTCAACTAATCATTCCCTTAAACTGCTGACAGCAGTTAAAACAACTTTCACCCTGGAAAAGTATTTATATTTAGAAATGCCATCAGTGGAGAGACAGTTATTTGTTAAGTTTAGATTCGAACTTCTAGATACCAACGTTAGATTCGGCCGTTATCGGAAAATCCCGTATGACAAAAGAATATGCATATATGGGGTAAACGTCGTGGAGGACACGGCGCATATAATATTCGAATGTAGTCTCTATCAGGAAGTTAGAAATCAATATCTGTCCCCAATTATAAATAAATTTCCCCACTGGAATATAAGCCAAAAATTAGCATTTCTGTTGAGGGCTGACTCTCCTCCCCTGGTAAGAGCGATCACTCGATACCTTAAAAGGTTGATGGCAATACGAGCCAGTTATATCAAGGAAAATTTTATCGATTGTAAAAAAGATGAGCTCAGTTAGAGAGGAGCTATCCTATTTGGGTTATCTAGTCTTCTAGTCTTGGCAACTTAGCTATTGAAATTTGATATGGTAAAATTTTAATGTCATCTATCATATATTTTTAGATTGCTATTTTTGTAACTGTTTTATCTTTTTCCCTTTTCCTTTTCTGTTTTGTTTGAAAAGGCCTTCGGGCTATTCAATAAACTATACTAATACTAATTAATTAAGAATTTGAGGAAATGACAGGTTGAAAATAAATTGATCAAAATCTGAACTATTAATGAATAATAATGGTAAGGAGTGGGAGAATATGCAAGAACAACTTGGGATAAGGATTAAAAAAAACATTGAAATATTTGGGCTTTCAAAGTTAAAGAAATGAAAAAACTAAATTATGATGTGGTGATGAATGAAATCGAGAAAAAGATAGATAAATATAAAATGATAAAGTTGTCTTGGTTTGGTAGAATTGCAATGTGTAAGATGATGTTGTTGCCAAAGTTTAATTTTTTATTTGAGATGTTACCGTTAAACTTGACAGAGAAAGATATTGAAGGATATCAGAA